GTATCTCGGCTTGCAACGTCTTCAAATGCCGTGAAGATGTCGATAGCTTCAAATCAGATGCTGACACGTTGATGACGCTTATATAGGACTATTTACTCTGTCGGTTGAGTATCGCTTTTTAGTACAAAGTATTGCTTTCGGTTTAAAAAACGATGTCCTGAAAAGGCTTAAAACAATGGACGAAAAGTCGGTCACAATTCAGTATTCAAATCACGAGTGTTGCCGATGTGATCACACTAACATTTGGCACACTTCGGTACTTTCCGTAGGCCGTCGTGATAGTGGGTCAGGGTGCTGGAATACGTACGTTGAAAACTCAGTCAATGAGACCGATGCATCTGAGCAGATTCAAAAGCTGATTGTAATCAACGCTTTCCCAAAATAAGCGAGGCAACTGGCGATAATGTTTTCCAAGGACAAGATTAAGTGTCTTCGTAAGCATCTGGGACACGAGAAACACGGGCTGATCTTTTCCATTAGTAGTTGTGTACAACGCCACTTGAAACAGTGTTCCAGATAAATGACGGCGTCTGATGCCCGTAAATTAGAAGCTGTTGCTGTTGGAATATCTTTTTAGAAAACGATCTTAGGACAAAACAAACACGTGGACATGACGATCCGAATATTGAGACGTGTTTCTTGAAATCCATTACGTTTCGAGGGCGGGTACAGGGTCGTACAGAGTTGTGTCCCGTGTTCGTATATTACGTGCTGTTTGTAGTGGGTTCGAAGCCGATTATTACCGTAAGTCTTTCAATAGACACCTGCCTAAAATAGACCAGGTGAAAATAACAAAACAGTGTTTATTCATGAAAGGCGTTATCATGCAAAATGCAAACAACACATTTTATTAAATGTACACGGTCCATCTCCGAGGAAATCGAAAACGTTTCCATACCTGCCAACTCTCCCGTCTCCGGCTTGAGACTCTGCTCATGTCACCCTCTCACGACAAGATAACTCTCACGCCAGACTAGGTTACATATGAAAAATAAAAATCCGCTTTCTCCAATAATTTATTATAGAAAATGAAATCATTTTAAGTTTTGTGTAATTATTTTCTTTAGTACGCTCATTCTTTTCTCAGAAAGGTATTTGCAATTATGCGTCGCTTCAACCCACCACCAGTTTTCATCAAGGACCGGTGGGGCGTCCCACGCATCTCAAAGCTTTTTCTCTCTCTTGGGGTTGGAAGCTCTGCGTTTACCGTAAACACCAAATATTCGCAAGGTGTAAGACATTTCTAAGATACAGGGATGCCCGAGCGTCTATTCGAAGACTTCCGGTGTTCTATTCATACCAGCATCATGTCCGTGCACGTGCGTTTCATCCAAGAGATGAGGTGGTGAACAATCTGGTTCCTTCATCCCCATATAGTTGACACCCCTAGATGCAAGGCTGACATTGTTGAGTCAGACCTAGCCATTAGTTTACGGTAATTAGCATTATGTTCAATGAGGAGGCCTAATTCTGAATTAACAGTTTGACTTCAATTCAACAATTGCGAGAATGTCTTCCAGAAGCGGGATGCCTTCCTTTGTTCTCATCTTTTTTCATTACCGAAATATAAGTCGTCAAGAAAAACAGTCTTTGGAATCTATTATCCCCTTTTCTCATATGTTCCCAAATGAAAGTGATGTTTACAGAAATTCATTGCCTGTCTTTACCAGCCTATCACATAACCTGTCGGGGCGGTCAGGCAGGCAGGTATTTCAAGCACTGATATAGAAAACTGCAAATCAGTGATGATACCAGGTGTTCATGAAGGTGTATGGGTGTCCTACTCTACCAGTAGCAACCGCCAGTCCTCAGGAATTTGCATAAAATAGTATTCGCAGCTGAGTGTAAGTGACAAGCTTGCAATGCTGCTGAAGGTGAGTTTGCTGCCAACTCTGGGTGTCAAGCTTGCAATGCTGCTGAAGGTGAGTTTGCTGCCAACTCTGGGTGTCAAGATTGGAATGTTGCTGAAAGCAGCCTAGATAACATTCACATTGTGTTCACCATACTAAAAGTTAATAAAGACAAAACCAGGTGTGTTTTCTTTCTTTTATTCATGAAATGTATGTATCTTATTTTACACTATTACATACACTGTCACAAGACACGAGATGCATGGTATACTTGACCTAACTGATTCACATCTACATGGAAACTTGTGGTTGTCGAGCCTTCAACAAGTAACAAGTAAACCACCAGCCCACAACTGCCCTGTTTTATACATTCATCACTGCTGTCCTGGTGTTTCCACCAAACCGTGGTTTGCCACAAGAACACATAAACAAAAGCATGTATCTTTAGACACTCAACACCAGCGACTCCATAAACAAGAGTTTCTTGGTTTGTCTTCATGGATATAAGATGAACACACGACTCAATAAATTTATGTTTTATCCTTTTATGCTAAAACAATGGTAAATAATTGCGATGTCAAACTTAAGCTAACCTAAAACAGTGATTGAATATGTTTATATATCTTCATTATGAACTTAACATGATCAAGGGCTTATGTCATCACCTGCTGCTTCTTCAGCAACATATACAAGAAAATCATTATGTTTGTCAGAAAACCTTTGACTATTATTATTCCAAATTAACACTTAAACTTAACCTAAAACATCCATGCAAAGTTAACGTGAAAACAACCTGCTTTCACATGAAGCCAGAACTTTATGTCTGTTCAAATTTTCAAAGTAAAACATTTTCAAAAATCTAATCTTTTAACTCAACATTTTCAAAATAATTTGAAATCATTCTGAAACTAAGCATATGATCTTCACTGACCATAAAATAATGATGACCACAGATTCAATGACCAGTTATTCCATATGAACATGTATTGGACCCATCAGATCATGGAGGGAAATATATACTGAAGAGGTGATGTTTGTATATAGATCTATATACCATGTTGCCATGAGAATCTATCCGAATGACAACATCCTGCAGTTACTTGATGCCAAAATAGTTGAAACTCTTATCATTCTTATAAGTTCTATTGGTTACGTTTTGGCATCAAGCACCTGTTGAAATGAGCCTTCATATTGCCAAATTGCAAAAGATAATGTACAGAACACTCGAGAAGAATTATCACAAACACACTACATGTTATAATGATCCCAAACCTATAATGGCATATATTTTGGCTCTTTCAAACTTGCGTTATTTTAAATGATCAAGAAGGAAAGGTTTTATATATATTGAAATGAGACATCCTGAAAATGGAATCAGATAACCATGGTAACGCTGCCAGGGTGGTTTTCCAGAAGTTCTAGCACTAACTGACGGCTATCAGGTACGCACACAGCACTGTTGTAATCCACATCATCATAGCAGTCTTACAACATCAAAAGTCAAAATAAATTTGGCACCTATCAAATGTATTATATTCATGTGGTGTCCAAACGTAAGGTTTTGAATATCATCACAATGTAAACTATATTTACAACAAACAACAATCTCAAATCAACAATTGCAAAATGAACGCGATCACATCAAGATAACCTCCTACACCCCCTGGTTCTGGATGAACGTTCCCGATCACGCGGATCAAGGACATAGCTTGTCTCCTCACGATGTCAACTTCTAGACAAAGTATTAGACATCGTTCCAATCATCTTCAGTTCTAAAACCTGGGTAAATCAATCTAACCAACAATAAGATGATCACAAGACCTGTTTATCCAAGACATGATCAGCTGAAAGTTTCGATCAAAATAGCTTCAGTCTAATGTCCCAGATCTACCCTTATCTCAGCAACAACTTGTCCTATTGTCCTTACCAAAGGAACCAGTCAGTAGATAAGGTATCATAAGTACTGGTAGATATTTGCTATTTTTAATGTTTTGCTGTATATTATAGGGACTAGTGGATGATAAATGTCAATTTGTATCATTGCATCTATATTCCTCTTCTAACAAGCAGCTTCAGTCCCGATCTCAGTGCTATGACTGACTGACTGAGTTTAGTTTTACGTCGCTTTTAGCAATATTCCAGCTATATCACGGCGGGGGACACCAGAAATGGGCTTAACACATTGTGCCCATGTGGGGAATCGAACCCGGGTCTGCGGCGTGACGAGCCAACGCTTTAACCACTAGGCTACCCCACTGCCCCTCAGTGCTACGACTACTGTAAGCCATGATGCAGTACAGCAGTTACACTCATCTTAGCGTTTAAGTCACCTTGTGGAAACTGGGCACTGGTAATAAAAAGGATGCAGGTGTGTCTTATTCAAAGATTCAAGGCATCATCACACTTGCACATTCTACAAGTCTTTTAGATTCTTCAACTCAAACCTTCCACTGACCTTTGACATTAGTTATTTGCAAATGACATTAGTTATATCACAGCAATGAAGTGAAAGATGTTTTGTGAAAGAAAAGTAATTTTATTTTCTAACAATTACCAAACTGAAAAAATAAACTATAAATTGAAGGAGGGCCCAGTGTTCCAGAGCCTTCTGGCTGTAGTCTGTAGGTACACAAATTTTCACATCATGACATGACATCTACTAATGTTCATTATCGGGGACATAATTAGTAGAGTGAGTGAGTGAGTTGGGTTTGATGCCAATTTTAACAGTATTCCAGCCATATAACAGTGGTTCAGCTTAAAGTGGGAGGAAAGCCCACAGTTATACACATCTCAGACATTCGCCATTTGGCACCTTAAAGTGCTGACAGAAATGTAAATAAAACTGAGACAAACTGGGATTTGAACCCATAATAACAGCTATATGGCTTATCCGAGGGAAGCGGATTGTAGTGAAAGACTGGGCTTCCCAAGTCCCCATAATGAGGTGATTTTGAGAAATGAAAGCCTTCGTAAACATTAATCTGGAGGATGGTGAGGACCCTAGTCATGTTTAAAGCGTTCACTTGTTGCACCGAAGACCCGGGTTTGATTCCTCACATGGATTCAGTGTGTGCAGCCCATTTCTGGTGTCCCACGCTGTGATATTGCTAGAGTATCTCTAAAAGCAGCATTAACTCATACTCACTCTTAATTTGGAATAGTCCAATGAATTTGCGAGAAGTACATGTAATGGATCCAAGGCTGCGGCAGATAGACCAGCAGGGACAGTGGGTCATGTATGGCTATCAACCAAGTACCAACAATCTTTGTGCGATGAAACATTGGTCCTTGACTCAACTTCACATCTCATCACAGCAGATGTTTACAACATGGATGTAGGGATCAAGCATTGGACATTATTCTGAGAGAAGGGGTTCCATGTCCAGTGATCTTTTGAACAAAAATCCCTTCCCCCCAAATTCTTGAATAAAATATTTTGTCCTCCATATTGACATGGAGTGAAATGATTGGTGACACTATCACTCATACCTGACATGTATATTGTCAAAGATATGTTTCTCTTACAAAACATCCCAAAATAGTTTGAACAGAGTCTCCAGTCATTGTTTTTGACGATTTATCTCTTCAAGAGTTAAGTTTCATTCAGTGAATCTCATCACAGCCTCGCCAAAGCTCACAATGGAGGAACAGTCCTAGCGTGTATCAGTTCTAACACTATGGTTTGTCACATGCTTTCATACTTTCGATTTTTTCATGAGTTTATATAGTATGATTCAGTACATGAGAATTTTAACATCTAATTTTCAGATGTTCATTTTGGTATCAACTGATTCAAATAGATTACAGCATTAAAATTTAACAAGAAAAAGAAACAACATTTGCATCCTAGCTTAACCAAAGACCACTGCAAAAAAACAGTGTTTCGGACAATCATTGTCAGACCTTATACAATTAATAATATCTAACAACAGAAATAGCTTAATGCAATTCTTCATGATGCTCAAAACTCATTTCAGTTGGCATTGTATGAAAATAGCACACAATCACCACACCAGCTTTTAGAAACAGTTTTGATGAAAGCAGCATAATAGTGCACATATGAAAAGTATAAAGAGTACCAATTGGTACAATGACAACCGCTAGCGACTATTTATGATGAATAAATCAATGAAATGAATAGGTTGTTATGAAGGAAATAAATAAAAGGCATTCATAACATCAGATGAACATATACCCTATCAAATTTGTAAAATTTTCCCTGAAAAATAATTAAAAATCACTGCAACATTGTGACTAACTTCTGAATAACAGTGGGTGTTATTAATTCAAAACATATCCCTGATTACCACTTTCTGTGAATTAATTAAAATTCAGCAATGATAAGCTCATTGCTCACGTCAAAACCATCTGAGGAACGACAACCGCGATATCCATTTCATAGTGCTTTCCCAACTGGAACTTTAAAACTGTTTATACAATTGTCTTTTCCTAACAGACATTGTGGAGGTACGAAGTAATCCAGAAGATCCTGTGCACATATATCCACGATACAAGGAGAAAAACCAAACTTCAGTTCAACTTGATCTCAACCGTAGATCCATGTACTATATGGCTGTTGCATTCTGGGAGTCCAACTGATCATGTTGTGACACACAGACAGACAGACAACAACAAAGCCAATATCGCTAGAGAACTGATTTGGGTCCACACATTTAAAGCCAGATTTCACAACTGAGGAAATAAATAACACAATATTTATTTATCTCCAAAGTATTGACAGAGAGTTTGGTCGCATGGCGTTGTCGTCCCTTCTAGCGTCAGGACTTCTGTGTGAGGATGGCGCCCAGCGTCAGGACACCGATGGCGCCAGCTGCGTATCCACAGATTTGCCGTAATGAAGGCCATGGGTTCTCGTTTCGATTCTCGGGGCCTTGCTCGTAAAATGCTACAAACCCCTCCTGAAAAACAGAGAAGAATGTATAAGTGATTGCAGTAACAAAATTATGAATGAGTGAGCGAGTTTAGTTGTACGCCGCTTATTACAAATATTAGCAATATTCCACCATTATAACGGCGGGGAACACCAGAAATGGACTTCACACATTGTACCCATGTTGGAAATCGAACCCGGGTTTTCGGCGTGACAAGCGACCGCTTTAACTACTAGGCTACCCCACCTTCGCTTAGTCTGTTATGTACAAGTTTGTTATAAACATGGTTTACAGCAGTTAGTTTCATTCCTTTCTCAATCAACAATTTCTCCCCCTATTTCTCCCCATTTTCTTCCATGTCTGCCTCCTGTTTCCGCACTCATTCCCTCGTTATCGGAGTCTCATTCACTGATTCAGTCAGGATTAAATCCCCTTCCATTCACATCATCCCATCTATGGTAACAATTATGAAACTCATCAATGAAGGATGTTTTCAACAAATGAACATGGCCATGTTAAACTTGCCTAAAGAGAACCTGCACTGAAATCGACAATGGCTGCTTCTGCCATCCTAGCAACCAATGTGATCTGTGAAGAATCAATGGGGCCTACACAGATAGACAACACTGGGTGAGGAGGAAGAGGACAATGTATTCCACACAAATATCTCTCCATTGATCATCAGTAAAAAAAACAACGGATAAATTTTATTGATCTCCATTCAGGGCTGGTTTCAAAATATGTTTATCTTATTTCTGTCACAGAATTTAAAAATATGGGAATACCTGGCTTGTTCCTTAGGAATTCGAATCTAGAGACAACTCTAGTTAACGAGGCATGTTCCTTGGGAACTTGAATCAAAGGACAACTGCATGTTGACCAGGCTTGTTCCCTGGGAACTTGAATCTAGGGATATGTTGTCCCTTTAACATTCTAAGCTATGACTAGAAGGGCCCTATGTTTTTGCTGCTTCACTTCAAACACTGATTGCCCACAGCCATTTTCATTCCTACACCTTCGTGTAAGGGTTGCTTTACACCAACAACTAGAGCTTAAAAAACAAATACAATGGCCAATCAACAAGCACATTTTTACACTCCGACCAGATATCACACATCACTATAGTCAGTCATGTGGAAAAATATAAGCAGGTCTTCAACATTTACCACTACAGGTACAACCCACCAGTAAGGTACAGTGTTGACAGACAAGATATGTATTATAAGCATGGGATTCAAACCCAGGACTAGTTTATCATAGACTCAAACCCAGGACTAGTTTATCATAGTGATGATACCTTTAATCACTTGGCCCCAGGACTCAAACCCAGGACTAGTTTATCATAGTGATGATACCTTTAATCACTTGGCCCCAGGACTCAAACCCAGGACTAGTTTATCATAGTGATGATACCTTTAATCACTTGGCCCCAGGACTCAAACCCAGGACTAGTTTATCATAGTGATGATACCTTTAATCACTTGGCCCCAGGACTCAAACCCAGGACCTGTGGCAGACATAGTGATGATCTTTAATGTGTATGTTATTTACTACCTAACAGACTCAAAAGTGATAATACCTTTTCATTGCATCAATGAGCAGATTAATCTACTCTGATACACTGAATGAGGATTAATCTGTGCGATACACTGAAGGGTTGAGAGTAAATAACAAGACTGTCATCCATAGAGATGTTTGTGATGACCTACAAGCTGCAGCAGAGCTATACAGGTCTTGCTGAGCATCACTTCAAGGGGACACCTAGATGAACCCGGAGTAAGTACAGACACATAATATGGTATAGCATGACTAATTACATGCTGTAACCATGGCAATGAGGCAGGAAAGGAATAAAAACTGGGTCAGACAGTTTTGAGATGGTCCCCAATATCTAAGGACAAAATGAATGTAATGGTCTATAGACACTGAATACACCTACACACATGTACACTATGTACATCGCTACTGGAATATTACACAGATTCCTGAGACGGAGCAAGGAGTTCATAATGTCTGTGACTGGATACATGGTGACATTTGTTTGACTCATCACAGAAATACCAACTGTGTAAGATAACATGGGGAGTGGATTCATTTGTTTGAAATTGACACTTTATTTGGTGAACTGCGTTAGAAGAATTAACTGATGCTTATGAATATGATATGCATGATTAATTAAAATGTTAAATGAAGATTAACATCCAGCAATATTTCCAGCATCTATCCAAGCACAGGCAAACATATGTATGGTCCATATATTTTCAAATTTGACAATTTTTCAGTGACATTATTTTCTTTTATAATATCTTTTAATGTTTCTTTGCAAAAATAATGCATTTAATTTCATAGTCAGTGCATTGCAGTAGCTTTGGTAAGCCTTCAAAAAATTTAAAAGAAAAAATAGTTTGTAATTTCGCTATGTTTGAAATTAGCATCAAATCAGTATTGAAAACCATTGATTTTTTTTTATTTCGAGTCCTCCCCTTTGATCAGTCATGTTCACACTGTGACATGTTTCATTACAAACATTGGCAACACTAGTAACACATTGTAGGAACAAGAGTCAGTGCGTCAGTGAGTTTAGTTTTACACTGTTTTAGCAATATTCCAGCAATATCAGGGCCACCAGTAATGGGCTTCACACATTGTACCCAGGTGGGGAATCGAACCCGGAGTGACGAGCAAACGCTTTAACCACTAGGCTACCCCCAAATAAACAAGATCTGGGTTAAAGAAATAATATGTCTTGAAAGCCAATAACGGATATGTTATAGATGATACAAACTACATTGATTTAGACATAAACTCACAGTTACCCCAACAGCAAGGAGCCAGTACCACTGCTGTTGCTGACAATCTATTTGTATTCAAACCAGGAACTGGCATCACGATATTCACCTCAAACATTCAGCGTCCACAATAGCATATAAATATAACCACAAATAACATTAGCGCTGTTTCACAATACATTTCGATATGTGTCCCAGAACAAGATTACTGCCAATAAGATATATTGATTTTCTGATAATACTGTTACCATTCAAGGCCTGATAACATTACAATGGACATTTCCTGGAAGAAAAGTGAAGTGTTGGTTGGGTAAGTGCAGGGTTATCTAGACCTGCAGGCTTCGGAGAGATGACTTGTATTTCATGGATTGTAGTACAAATAATTGTTGTATTGGATACAATGTTCTAATGCCTCTTAAGAAAGAGTGAGTGAGTGAGTGAGTTTAGTTTTACGCCGCACTCAGCAATATTCAAGCTATATGGCTGCAGTCTGTACATAATCGAGTCTGGGCCAGACAATTCAGTGATCAACAGCATGAGCATCGATGTACGCAATTTGGAACCGATGACATGTGTCAACCAAGTCAGCGAGCCTGACCACCCTATCCCATTAGTCGCCTCTTATGACAAGCATGGGTTACTGAAGATCAATATTCTAACCCGGATCTTCATGGGTATGTTAAAAAAAAGAAAATTGACTATAAGTTCAGACTTTTTCTGATAACAAGGATTTTTAGCCAGGGCCATGTCTTGGGGTCCATGCAGTGTTGACAGCCTAATTCAGTTACGATGTCCCTGGTACCTTGTTGGATAAAACCAGTAACCATGACTACGGAAATACTAAGGATAATAATCCAGGCTAGAATAACAGCTAGTCTCTGAGAACATATTTTACAGAAAAACATGTTCCTAAATCATCTTAGTAAAGTATATTTAAAAGCAGTCATGAGAGTTTCTTCATTTTCAGAGAATATAGTAAACGTATCTACAGAGCTTTAATTGTTTGGAATTGCGCAACAAACCTAAAGTATTACCCATGACTGCCATGTCACTGAAAGGGTGTGAATATCTATTACAACCACCTGCTCCCAAACACACTTTCCCACCGCTAGACTTGCCACTTATTATAGACTTGCATGGGCTCTACTGGATATATTTGTTTGAAGGTCTGTATGACAGAATAAATCCATGATTCAAACATAAATCAAACAGATCCTTGCAGCTCTAAGAAGTTAGTAAGTGAGTTTAGTTTTACGCCGCACTCAGCAATATTCCAGCTAAATGGCGGTGGTCTGTAAATAATCGAGTCTGGACCAGATAATCCAGTGATCAACAGCATGAGCATCAATCTGCGCAATTGGGAACCGCTGACATGTGTCAACCAAGTCAGCGAGCCTGACCACCCGATCCCGTTAGTCGCCTCCTACAACAAGCATGGGTTACTGAAGATCAATATTCTAACTAGGATCTTCACGGGTCAGCTGTAAGAAGACTGTCCATACCATGAATGAGTTTCAATGTATTGTTTCTTACTTCTGATTACTGTTCTTCAGCATGTCAAGAGGGATTACAACATTAATGATAATAATGATAATACCAGTTAGACCAGTCACTTGGTTTTAAGTAAACTTCAAGTTTTCATTTTCAACATATGAATATAGATATATTTCAGTTTTCGACATCACACTTATGATAAGGAGTTCCTTTCATGTCTTATCACAACAACAAATACACTTGTTACCATAACAACCACAATCTTATCTAGTTGGAAATACCTAGTGTTTGCCGTGATCACCCAACACAGAGGTGAAGTACAGCATGTTGTCTTGACCTCCTACTCAGTACACAGTATCATAAATCCATAAGCAGTTGTACAACACCCAGCATATATCATATACTACTTTCCACTCCACTAGCTATCTATATGGTACACCATTTTCCATATGACTAGCTAGCTATATTGTATATACTGTCTGTGCTTCACATAACCACAGGATCAATACTGCTGGCAGGCAATATCTAGTCCAGCATATTCAGTTGGAGGACACCATTAATAATTTGGGTGCAATCCATATCCCCAGTCAGATGAAGTAAGATTTGTCTCACATCATAAATAGTTGAGTATTGGTTGTTTATGACTGAGATATCACCACTTGGCAAGTGTAAGATTCATTACTATTTTCCGTTGATAATGTCATTGGATTCATTATTATATTTGTGTAAAAGAATGATCTTAGT